AGATTTACATTTTGTTAAAAAACAATCATCCATTGCTATATAGTATTTGTTGAAAATGGAGTATTTTAACTGGCCGATTTAATTCCATATTTAATTTAAGTTACTTACATGGCTATTTCATTCATTCTAATTGATTGATTTTTTTCCATCTTGTCTAATTGGTTGATTTATTATTTTATGTATTTTTAAAATTCAAATTCCTTTCTTTACAAGATTCTTGCATTAGTTATAATATTTTTTTCCTTCTATGTAATTTCCACTCGAGCTATAAAATGGGCATCCGACGCTTTCACTTTCATCATTGTTCGTATCCGTTATGTTTTTATATTTGTTTATTCGTGTAATGTTCTTTTTTTCTTTATTATAAATTCGTTACTTTGTTATTTACCATACTATCTATTTTACTTGACCATTTACTTTTCAATAGGTGTTATTTTGATGAAGAATTGATCATGGTTCACCCTTGCAGTTAATTGATCAAGGTTGAGAAACTAATAGTATCGTGACACATTTGTGGAAAATTTTAATCCACTGTATGATATTCAAAGTGAAAATTTATTTTTTATTTCGTGTTGACATAGTTTTTCGTACTCCTTTGTCTCAATCCGTTTCATTACTTCTGAATTATTGTTTCATTATTTATTTTAACAGTTTTGCAGATATAGAGAGGAGATTTGAATTTTTTTGTGCATCATCATCACATTACTACGGTGGCTGATTCACCTTGGCCATTTTTCTTAATATATGTTTAAATTAATTTTTATTTTTAATTTGATTAATTTTGCAGTTGTCTATGTAGTATTTGAGTAACTCTTTTGTTGAAACTGCTCAATGGTAATTCTTTGTAGCATTCTTTTTAACATATATTTAAATTAAGTTTGGTCCTTTTTTTCTTTTTTGCTTTTACTTTTATATCCATTACTATACAAATCAATTTACAATTTGAATTTTTATATATTTGTTTTATGCATATATAATAATTCAAGTTTTGCATACATATCATTCTAACTTGGGATTGTTTATGTTTTACCCACATGTGCGACGATAAGTGTAAAACACAAGTGATTTCCATGATAAACCAAATGGTTATACGCTATTCTGTGATTTCATAATTTTATTTTGATTTCATTAGTTTATTATGTATATTGTGTACTTTTCTAAATCATGTATTATAAATTTTGGTTATATATGATTATAGCAATTGTTGTTTCTAATACATATTTTACATGTTATCATTCAATACTGATATTTTTCAAATTAATTCGATCTTTTATATCATTTCATATGTTAATATATAACTCCATCTTAATTTATCATTTACATCAAATAGTTTTCTTTGTTAAAATTTTAGTAGAGGATTCGGTGTCACAAAAATGAGGATTGTTGTCTAAGTTTTATCCCTCCTTTTAAGAGGCTAAGTTGTAAACTGTCCAAACCTCATCCACAAAGTTATAGAAAAAATTAATATATTTTTTTTTTCATTTTTTAGTATTAGCATACAGTTGCTTTCTTATTTTACACCGTATGCTTGGGTACAATTACACTTATCTGTTTTTTTTATTTATGTTAATAGAATATTCATTTTCTATATATTGTAATTGTAACGTTTTTCTTATTTACTTTATTGTTTCCTTCATTTTTTTACGTCGTTGAATTAAATACTCATATAAAATACTATAAATATTATGTTCGTTTATTTTTATTTTGTAGACAACAACCGAATAAAAATTGTTTACTGTAAACTACTCCACAAATGTCTTTTTTATCTAAAAAGAGTAACAAAACTAAAATTATTTATGTTATAACACTGAATCTATTACTTATTTGATTTTATTTAAGAAAGTAACAAACTTAAAATTATTTATCGTAAACTACTAGAAATCTATGTTACTTATTTAATTTTATTTTAGAGAATTACCGTTTAAATCTGCAATTAAATTCTACAAAGGTTAAAGTATTTTGTCGTCCGAATGAGTTTTGAATATATAATAGGCTGCGGCTATATGCAATACTCATTCCACTTGTGCAAGACCAAATTAAAGAAAGATTCCAAAAGATTCTATTTTATTAAGATGGAATGACAAGTATGCCCATAAATTAAATTGGTTTTTTTTTTCTCATGTAAGACCAAATACAAATAATGAGAAAAAAACAAAAATCGACACCAAGGTGTCGAAAAACTATGCTACAAATCGACACTTAAGCGTCGAATTTCATAGGTAAAAATCGACATTGACATGTCGAATTTGTAGCACAAATTCAAATGTCGAATTTTATACCTCAAAATCGACATCTAAATGTCGAATTGTATACCTCAAAATCGACATCTAAATGTCGATTTTTACCTGTAAAATTCGACCTGTACATGTCGAATTCGTTTGCGCGGGATTTTTTTTGGAAAATCGATATTCTAGCTAAAAAACCCATAAATGCATACATTCTTGGGTTCTTCCATCGTAGAATCTTCTATTTTGATGTCTTCTGACTCCATACTTGCCATCTTTGTAAGATTTGTTGAGTTTTGATGATTTTGAATTTCTAGGTTTTGTGGGTTAATGGAGGAGGAAGGAGAAAGGTCTTGTGAGTTTTGGAAGATGGAGAAGATGATAGTTGGTCTTGTGGTTTTGTGGTCTTGTGATAGGGTTTTTTGTGTTTTTGAATTTTTGGTCTTGCATATTTGGAATTTTTTATTTTTTTAATAAATAAGGGTATTATAGTATTTATACATTGAAAATTTTAATTTGGTCTTGCACAAGTGAAATTAGTCTTGCATATAGCCGCAGCCTATATAATATCCACAAGGAACATTTGATATCGTGACAATTAAAGTAGGGGAATATTAGTGAAAAATCCCCAATACATTGGTGATAATAAGGGTAGATCCACTTCATTTTTTAATATCAATTGCTTATTTACGGAGTATACGATTAGTATGGGTATTAATATCAGTATCAATATCAGTAGCACTATGACTATCAATAAGAGTAACAATAATAATATTAATATTAGTGTCAGTATTCGCATAAGTATTAGTATCACTGTTAGAGTTAGTATCAATTTCAGTAGAAATATCAATATTACTACCAATATAAGTATCAGTATGCATATCAATGTGAATATCAGTATGAGTATTAATAGGGTATTTGTATGAGTATCAAGATGCGTATAGTATTAGTATTAGTATCAGCATGAGTGTCGGTATTAATATCAGTATTAGCAAGGTTGTCAGAACCGGACCGGACCGGCCGGTCCGACCGGTTCGACCGCGACCCGGCATCTTGGCGGTCTGGTTCAACACTAAAACCCGGAGAAATCAAAAACCGGGGTCAGAGAGCAAAACCACCGGTTCGACCGGAAAAACCGGAAAACCGGAAACCGGTGGAAGACCCCGGTTTTTGTCTAAAATGGTGCTTTGGAGGTCTTGGATGGTCGGATATGGGCTGTAAAGGTCGGTGAGGTCAGTATCAATAGTATCAATATCAATATCAATATCAATATCAGTATCAGTATCGGTATCGGTATCATTATCAGTATCAATATCAATATCGGTATCGGTATAAGTATTAGTATCAGTATCAATATATGTATATGTGTTATGTATCATTAGCATTAAAATTAGTTTTAGCATAGTATTAGTAATAGTATTAGTATCAATAGTAGTATTAATATTACTTTTAGTAATAGTATTAGTATTAGTATTAGTACTAATATTAGTATTAATATCAGTATAAGTATCCGTATCAATATTAGTATCGATATCAGTACCTGTATCAGTATAAGTATCAGTATCGATATCAATATCAATATCAATATCAATATGAGTATCAGTATCGATATCAATTTCAGTATCAGTAACAGTATGAGTATCAATATTAATATCAATATCAGTATCAGTAACAATATCAGTATAATATTAATATTAATATCAATATTATTAGTATAATATTAGTATTAGTATTAGTATTTTTATCAGCATTGTATCAATATGAGTAACAATATTAGTATCAATATTAGTATGAGTATCAGTATTAGCATTAATATTAATATTACTATGAGTATCAATATGACTATCAACATCAGTATCATTATTAACATCAGTATCAATATCAGTATCAATACACTGTCAGTATCAGTATCAGTATCAATATCAGTAAGTATTAGTATTAATATTAGTATTAGTATTAGTATTAGTATTAGTATTAGTATTAGTATTAGTATTAGTATTAGTATTAGTATTAATATTAGTATCAGTATGGGTACCCGTAGTACGAGTATCAGTATTAGTATTAGTATCAATATTAATATCAGTATTACTATTATTATTACTATCAATATTAGTATTATTATTAGTATTAGTATTAGTATTAATATTAATAGTATTAGTATTAGTATTATTATTAGTATTAGTATTTGTATTAGTATTAATATTAGTATTAGTATTAGTATATCATTATTAGTATAATTATTGATATCAGTATTGATATTATTATTGGTATTAGCGTATACATCTTATCTCTTTTGCAATATTTATAAGTTGTGTTGTTGTTTGATTAATGTGCATCACTAATTGAATGTTGTTAGTGATAAATTTGTAGGTTATTTGAATATCTATCGTGTTACCTCCATGTTAAGTTAGTTATTTTGTAGAGGATTCACATGGTGTAGTAGATTGCATTCCATGAAATAGAATTATACCATATGTTTTAAATTATTTCACTTAATCTTCATATCGTGTTTTGCGCTATTCGCGTATTTTTCTTTGTAATATTTAATTGAATTTCATATGTTACAACTCTGAATTAAGAGATATTTTTTTTTCCTTCCATTTTTTTTTACTTGAATTGGTGTTGTTATAAAGAGATAATCGTTTAAATGTTATTATTTTCCTCATTTTAAAACTGATATCCGTGCAACGCACGGGTGAAGTACTAGTTCTTGATAGATTGTTTAAAGATTATATGTATCAAATGTACAATTAAAATAATAAAAATTCGAATAAATTCCCTCTCTCAAAATACAAAATTCATGTAAACCACAAACAAAAATATGATCTCCTTTTTCACAAATTAAACAATTGCATATTTACCCAAACAACTTTTTCACAAACCAATACAAATAAAAAAATAATAAAATTAATTCTCAACCATGTATAATAACAATCAGCAGTAGCTACTATGATTCAAAGAACACAGCCATTTCCTGCCGTCACTCTGCGAATTCGACCGCCTAAAACTCGAAGATCTCGTCGAACACCTAACCAAACAAGGACTAGTAGAACTTTCCGAAACTCCCATGCAATTCACCGAAGGGAATCTTTTACAGCTCAGCGATCTAAAAGATGCTCCGATGGGCGAAGGAAAACGAGCGCAGTGGAAATCCAACGGTGTTTCCAGAGAATTGTTGTTTGTGTCGGCAAATTCGTTTGTTGAGCATGTGCAAAAGGGTAGAGATAAGCTCGTTCTCGCGATTTCTTTCGTTATTATCGGTTCTGTCCCTGCCAGCCTGGCGAAAGAGACTATGCCGTGGCGGCATAGTGGGCAGGCAATTGAGCCCGGGGGGCCGTGGCCCCCGTTTGAGGCGGTGTTTGTTGAGCAAAGGTAGAGCGCGCAGTGTGTGCAAAACTCGTGGAAACAACCTGCGAAAAAAAACGAGGGGAAAAAAATATTATGTTGGGTTTTGTTTGGTTGTGATAGGATTAGCTGAGATGAGATTATTTTTTAAATTGGGAATTGGATCAAAAATGGAATCTCATATTTTTTCCAATTAAAATTCAAAAAAATTCGGAACAATCGGAATGAAAAATATTGTACCAAAATTGGAAAATTTCGGATCAGAAGGGAATTATATTCAAATTTCCAGCCCTAGACATGGCTTATGTTGGCAAACGAACTGAGTCCACAGTGGATAATGCATTCGTGTTGCAAAATTAAAGGGAATCTCAAATTTTATTTAGCCTTTGATTAACCAAAAGTTGTTACATACAAACTAATTTCATTACGAAGTGGTTTTATTATGTATTTAACTATAAACCTTTTAGAGATTTAAACGGGAAAATTACAGTTTTGGTCCTTCATGTTTGGAAATTATTTTTCAGCCCCAAAAAAGTTTTAAATTTCACTTTTGACCCCAAAAATAGTGTTTTTCGTTACATGCTAACGGACATGTGACGGCAGCGAGCGAAAGTGTTTAAAATTGAACCTCGGAGGTGAACTTTGTTCACTTTGGAACAATGGGGACCAAAAGTGGAATCGGACCAAACATGAGGGACCAAAACTGTAATTCTCCCAATTTAAACACAACCAAAAAAGAGAAAGTAAAAAATAATAATAATAATAATAATAATAATAATAATTAAAAAAAATCCCCTTTTAAATAAGCATACCTTCTGCAGCAACTGTACACTTTCTCTCTAAGCAAACGACGCATGGATCTATACACCCGGAGCTGGGCGAATCGCTACTTCTCCATCCACATTGTCTGAAACGTCGTAAAACGAGATATAATATAAAAAAAATTAAAAAAATCTAATTTATTGTACAAAATTAATCAATATCGGTTATGTGTATAGTAATTCTCTCACCTAGCAATTTCGACAATGCTCATGAGAGGAAGGCATAAACACGGTGAAGGACTGAGTCTCGGCCTGCCACCTGGCCTTCGGCTTAGAATATCTTCAAGCCAATCTCTATTCCACGATCGAGCAACCATCAACGGCGTCCATCTTCGAACATCGAGGGCAGAATAGTAATTTAGAGGAGAAAAACAATAATTCGATAAAAGTAATAAATACTTTAAATTCCACTTGTTCTCAATAAAATATACGGGGATTTTGCGTACCCGTTTGCGTTCTCTGTGGTCAGACTCGCACCCTTGGCAATTAGAAGCTGAAAAACGGCGAAATACGAATTATACTAAGGAATAAATTTATTCGGATAATTTTAATACTTATTTTAATCGCCAAATAAACGAACCTGACAACACTGTGCATTACCGCCACATGCAGCGTAATGGAGTGGAGTGCTTCCAGCACCTATAGTAAGAAAATAAAAACGTCTCGTCTGGAATTAATACATTTAAGACGAACACATTATCGAGCTTTAGAATGTCTATTTTATCCATTAAAATCACGACATTATATATGTACATATACATAAAACTAAATTCTTGAATCTTAGCAATACCATTTAAATGAACTTAAAGAATTGCCCCCATGGCGATTAATTCATCGGTTACGCAAACGACAAGAAATTTTACATTTCGGACTCGGCAATTTTTGTAATTAAAAAAGATCGGAACTTTATAAAATTGCAGTAAAGATTGGATTTTTATTGTACCTATTAAATCAATTGTAGTGCCATCTTCAATCGTGACTTCATTTACCGAAGCCCCTAAATCGAGAAGTAGATGAACCGTTTCCGCGTGGCCGTTCAGTGCAGCCATATGAAGGGCGGTAACACCTCCATCGGCCGGTCTACTTATTACATCGTAAAGCGCACTAACAAAAAAAAAAATCAAATCCACTTCATAGGAAAGAAAAAAAAAACTAAATTAATTAAATCAAGAACCGATAGCATGAATGAAGTACCCTTCGTCGAACTCGGAAATATATTCCTCGTTTCTCGATTTTTTCCTCAAAATACTGCAAAAATTAGGGATGCTCGGAATGTAATCGGCTAATAGAAGGCGTATGCATCTGGTGTGACCGTTTAGTGCTGCTAAGTGGAGTGCGGTTCCTCCGTTTAAATAATCCGCTCTGTGTATCTAAAAATCGAAATCAACACGATTCTCAAATATTATGTCTAATTCAGACATTAGCTTTAGTGTACGGAAAAAAAAACATAAAGACAATCGCAATTTATCATACATTTGCTCTAAAGAGTATTAGTGTCTGAACAACTTCCCAATGCCCATATTGACAAGCTTGCATCAAGGCAGTCTAAATTCACCACATAGACAAGAAAAAAGCAAATTAAATTTCATAAACAAAAATATCGATTTTCAAGAAATAAAAAAAATAAAAAAAAATAAAAAAAAAATAAAAAAAAAAACGATTAATTGTACCTGTCCGCGGTAGTTTCTAAGATTAATATCAACTCCGGATTCGAGCAAAAGTGCAACGATCTAAAGAATATAGTCCGAAATCCAAAGTCAAAAAAACCACACTATAGAGATTAATTATTACATTGTATTATTATTGTTATTACATTGATGCAATATATATAGATATATATACCTCATGATGACCTTGAGCTGCAGAATAATGCAACGGAGAATTACGAACACCGAAAGTGGAATATCGAGCGAGGCGCGGATTATAATCCAATAATGCCTTTGCTTCTTGAAGATCTCCGTCTCTTGCTGCAGAGACTAAACGCTCGCCGGATGCCGAACAACCGAACGAATTCCCCACAATACTCAAAAATCCCATTTTCCCCCGCAATATTTATATATAACAAACAAACAAACCCCACAAATCAAAATCTTGAATAAAAATCACCACTCTTTCTATATCCGAAAATCGGGAAGAACACAGAAATGCAAGAATTGCATATTTTCGATTAGGTCTGATCGATTTGGGAAAGAGGGAGGCGGAATTTCGCCATCATGGACCGGTTTTGCAAGTAACAAATTGATCATTAAACAATTGTTTTTGTCTTGATGAAGACAGATTCCTGTATTAGCTATAAGCTGGAACTGACTTTGTCAAGAGAAATTATATATATAGAGGTGAATAAAAATGAAATAAAAATTTAATCTTTACAGGTAGAAATTACAATTGAGAAAGATTCAAACAAACCCCACTTCTTCTGTTTTCACTTTTCACCTCAGCAATCAAAAGATTCTTTTGGAGATGCCCTTTTCTTACACAAGTATATTAATGAAAAAATTTCTTCAAACCCCCTACCTTAATTTTTTTTGCCTGAAAATCAAGAACACCACCAAACCCAGATCACAAGCAAGAAACCCGAGATTCACACTATAAATGTGAACCCACCGCTCCACAAACTCAACCAAGAAAAGGGTTGTTTTCTTTTCTTGATTTTTTTTTTGGTTTTTTTTTTTTGGTTAATTATAATATTAATGACAGACAAACATCTCAGGAAATCTCTCTACATTCCCCCCCTCTCTCTCACTCTATAAATATATTATCTTAATTAAAGAATGAGGTGTAAGGCTTAATAATCGGCATAAAAATGAGGGAAAAAAAGAAAAAAGAAAAGCTAATTTAATACTCACAAACTCATCTGCCAGTTATTAAGGCTGGCTTTTGTTTTGGTGTATTTGTTTAAGGGGTGAGTTTGATTAATTAAAAAAAAGGAAGCCGACACCGAGTTTTGCGGCAACCTCAAACCAACTTGTCTACAAAGGAAAAGTGTCCACTTTGTTGTCCCGTAACGAACTTGTGTAAATTGATCAATGTTCGAATTCTTTAGTCCACAGTTGTTAGATCGAGTTTAGTCTGTCACATATGGTTAGCCTAGTGTAGTTTACATCTCTTGTACAGTTTACTAGCTATTAGATGAGAGCGTAGATTTATCCAGTGCTTACACACTTAGCTGAAGATTCCTTAATTGAAAAATATAATAATAATAAATTGTGCACTCTGATCATCATTGCCACTTTGTTATTATTCTCATTATTACCAGTCAATTTTGGTAGTTGGGGTTGTTATTGTTCTCCTCTCTCCAATCTTGTCAATTCTTTTATGGTCCCCCATCTACATAATTTTGAGCATAGCCTATTCCCCAATCTTGTTCTTTGTATATTTTTTAAAAAAATGCATTTTTAGTGGAGTTTAGATAAAATTGGATGAATCCAACGCATCTTTGCTCAAATTTACTTTAGAAAAAGGAATATTACTAAGTTTAAATTGCAAAAATGTCCCTCAAGTTTGGGTAATTTCAATAGCATCTCAATGAATCTTCTTACACGTCCACTCTTATGGTGTCTAATGCAACAAAATCCTCTAGATTGCGTGGAATGTTCTCTAGTTTGTACTTGTTTTGTTGAAAAAAACAGCTTCTAATGCACCACAATCTGATATTTACAAGTCAAGAAACACATCTTATTTAAGTGGGTCGGGTTGATTAGGTTGAAATGGGCCTAAATAAGCATATGGGCCAAACTTTATTAAATAAAATAAGCCCGCAAAGAATTAAACAGAAATTGGTGCATCTCAGCTCAAATCAGGGGTTATACCAGAACGAACACGTGTCAATTTATTATTAGTTGGATCAAAATTGGGTATCAAATCACTTAACCATGAAATTAGATGCTATACCTGGTTATTTACATCGGGTGGATTTGAGTCGTAGATCTACTCATAATCACACACACACTCATGTGTGTGTGCGCTTAGTGGGTAGTTATTTAATCAAATCTACGGTTAAAATCCAATCGGTGTAAATAACTAGGTGTAGCATCTAACTCCTCTCACTTACACCATTTCTTTAATGTGTTATTGAAGTATGAATGAAACTATAATTTAATTTAACTATGAGGTGAAAGGATAAAAAAATAAATTAAAATTCATAAATTGGACATTTATTCGTTAGAGAATAATAGAGTTGGCTTTGGATCAACAATTCTGCTATTTGGCTATTGGGCCTTAGTTTTTAGCTTTGGCCCATTATCTTTTGCAATAATAAATAATAAAAGGGTAAATTACAAACACCCCCCTGAGGTATGGTCAAATTACAAAAACACCCCTCTTGTTTGGATAATTACAACCACCCCCTCAACTCCTCAAATTTAGTGGAATCTTCGAGATTATATGGAATATTATCACTTTTGTACCCGTTTTATCCCATTCCAACTCTACATTATGAAGCAAGATGATCAAAATATGTGATTTTGAGCCTGTATATCTCAGATTGGGGGACATCGGAAACTGTCTTTTTACCCAACCCGAGTACAAACTAAAGCACATTTCACCGAATCCAGATGATTATGTGGAATTGGGCACCATAAGCGTGGAGGTGTAAGAAAAAATCATACTTGAGGGGGTAGATGTAATTATCCAAACAAGAGGAGTTTTTTTCGTAATTTGACCATACCTCAGGGGGGTGTTTGTAATTTACCCATAATAAAAATCCCAAAAGATCGAAAACTAGGGAAAAAAAGAAGGAACAATTTCGATTACAAAAACGAAGTTGCGCCGGACCCACCGTTGTAAATCTCTTGACCAATATATGTGCAATTTCAGTCGAGACTAGTAAAATTTTATTAATTTAGCAAAATATTAAATTACTGCACTTATAAATTTAACTTATTTTCACCTAATCGGAACGAAAAAAAAAATATTATTATTTAGGCAAGAATTAACCAATCATATGATTGAATATGTAAAAGAGATGGATGAAGGAATACGTCAATTTTTGTCCAGCAAAATCTTCCTGGCAAGGTCAACTAGTTAACGGATCTTCCACGTAAGTACTAATCATAATCAAACAAATTTTTTCATTTAGGTTTTGGACTTTTGCAGGTTTCGCTCGTGTTGCATCTGTCAGAATGCCAGGTGTACATATACATATATTGTCATTTTTTGTAGGTAAATTATTAATAGTTTCTAAGATAATAATTTAGAGTCTTACTAGGGTGAGATCACATGTGTTCTAAACTTATATGAGATATGTATTAATTACCATTATTTTTTTAAGATTAGTCTCAACCCTAGGAAAATAACATGGTTTATGTTCTAAAAAATGAAGTACTTTACCAAATTATTCTTCGATATTTTTTTTTTATTAAATTAATATAAAATTGATCAACACTGAATTGTCTTATTTACCCCTTACTATATTTTAATTAAATAATTAATTTAAATTCATTGTTACCGAGTTTTATTTGATAAATAATCGAAAAAAATGCATTCATTAGGGATCGAAACTCTGAAAAATAAACGAAAAAAATGCATTCATTAGGGATCAAACTTGTGACATCTTAATAGATTCATCACTCCTAACCATCCAAGCACATTAACTTATTATAATATATTTAACCATAATTGTATAAATACTGTTAATTAAAATATTAATTGCAACCAATATTATTATTAAATGATATTAAATAAATTATTAACAAATTTAATATAATAAAGTTTGAAAAATATAAAGAATTGCAGTTCAATACGCCAAACATCTATCATTAATTATATAATATTAGAATTATTAATAAACTCCACCATTTAAAAATGTAAAGAATGCTCAATTAAATATAAAAAATGCATAACTTAATTCAAACTCACTTATGTTATTAAATCGATAGTGTGACAAATCCAAATCAAAAATAAAATTATATGTTTATTTAGAAGAAGAAAAAATTATAACTCATTCCAATTAGTAGTTTTTTTACTTTTCTTACTTTAAAATAAAATTATATACTACAAATACTATATTGTGAATTTTCTTTTAATATTTAATTTAATCAAATAGTAAGAATTGAATCGATTAAGTTCAAATCCTTTCAATTAGTAAACATTATTCAAATATTTGAATCGATTGCTTAATTATTGACATAACGTGTTACATAATTAATTTAACTATTTATAAGTAATGTCTAATATCTTTTTATTTCAATTTTGTCGTAAAAATAATAAATTTAATTCCTAACACATGTAAGAACCTAATCCTAAATTGTAATATCTTATCAAAGCGTAATATTTGAACCAATTTACTCAAAAAAAAAATATTTGAAAAAAAAATATTTGAACCAATTAAGCTCAAGTCCTTTCAATTCGTAAGCATTATTCAAATATTTGAATCGATTAATTAATGCGCTCAACTATTGACAAGAACGTCTTAATCAAATTAACTATTGTTAATTAAAGTGTAATACATTTTTAATTCAATTTTATCATAAAAAATAATACCTAAATTACGTAAGAATCAAATCATAAGATTAATTAAAGCATATGATTTGAATCAATTAAGTGCAAATCCTTTTAATTTGCAAATATTATTCAAAATTTTGAAGCGATTAAGTTCAACCACTGACAAGAACGTATTAATCGAGTTAACTATTTATAATTAAAGTCTACTATCCTTTTAATTCAATTTTAACAAAATAATAATAACTTAATTCGTAAAATCGTAAGAATCAAATCGTAAATCGTAAGATTTAATCTAACCATGAACCGATTAAATCTTACGATTTTTACGAATTAAATTTTATTATATTTTATGATAAAATTCAATAAAGAAAGATACTAAACTTTAACTATACATAGTTTGATTAATACGCTATTGTAAATTATTGAGTTTAACCGATTCAAATATTTGAATATTGTCTACGAATTGAAATGAGTTGAGCTTAATCGATCAAATCTTTGAATATTGTTTTTGAAGTGAAAACACATGAGTTTAATTGATTTAAATATTACGATTTAATTAAATCTTACAATTTACGATTCAATTCAAACTTCAAATTCTTTCGAAATTCATTTTTAAATTACACGAGTTGATCAGCATTTTCTTAGATTTTTAAATTATATTATATAAAGATTTGTTAGCATGGGATATTTTTAATATATAACAATAATTATATGAGAATTAATAATTTATTTTATTTATATAAGTTTTATAACCATTATAAATTGTAGCTTTGTGATATATATCCGTATTGTTAGTTTATTGTCAATTATGTGTTGTGTTTTAATGGTAAGTATTCTTGTATGTTTCCTGATGGTCCCAAGTTCGAATTTAGGTTGATGCAATTTTGGATGGGTGGTTTAATGATTTTTACGAATAATGATATAATGAACTTTATAAATTTTAATTCATCAATAAATATAGATTTAATATTGTATTAAAATAGAGAGGGTAAAATTGACATTTCATTAATAATTTATAATTGCCGATTTTTTTAAAATAATAATTGTACAAAGGGTATCTGTGACAATACATAAATGAGGAAAAAATAGGTTTTTTTGCTGGGACACGTGTCGCAATTTGAAAAAGATATCTCACATAAGTTGTATTCTTGGGATCTCATGATAGAAACACCCAATAATTTGTCTTGTTTGTGAAATAATATTTATTTACTCAAATTAATGGTCTATTCTATATATCAAAAGTTTAACATAAAAAGCCCCTAATGAAAATCAAAGAGATGGTAATAGAAAATTTAAATTGCAAATAAATCACTTAAAATATGTC